CCAGCTGGAAGGATTTGCTTGCTGCTTGGGCTCTTAACCCTTTTATGGCTGTTGCATTCTGGGTGTGTGTGTGTCCTTTCATGTGGTAACACATGAGAAATCCGTGTATATGATCTCTGTGGATATGTCAGACAGGAAGATTAAAGGTAAATGAGAGCATTTTCTTGATTTCTACTTCTGGGAATGTGCTACCAAATGTTACTTGAGTGCTTTCAGAATACCATGCCTCACTTTTAGGAGCACATGAGGATTATAGAATCCTGTCTTCATTTGAATCCTAAAAAGTAGGATGCAACATATTTTGAAATTCACCTATCATTTTATTGAGGTTATATATTTTATCTCATTAGAATTTTTTGTTGAAATGATTTTTTTTATAGAAAGCGATAGTGGGTCTCAAAGTAGACAAAAAAGATAAAGATAGGATGTGTGTTGGATGCTGTTGAGGAAAAGGTGGGTCACAGGAAATAAAAGGGCATTGCTTGATGCAGCACTTCTGCTGCTTATTTTCTGGCTGCTTGTGCGCAGAGGTTGTGTTTTTACAGAAACGCAGCTAAGGGAAGTTGATGTAGTTGCCATGCCATGATTTAACTGGAGAGCATGATGTTCAGGTGGCGGAAGAGAGCGAGCAGGAGTGATATGGGATACCGAAAGGAAATATAGTTAACTTCCCTTCATTCTGAGAGGCCTTTTTCCCATTCTCTCATCAGGAAGTTTGTACAAACTTCAGTGGTACACTAAATTGCTCAGATGGTGACCTGTGCCTCTCCTCATCTCTGGTTTCGCTGCCAGCATCATGGTGCTGAGTGACATTTTATCTTTTGTCACAGATTTGCACCAGTTGTTTTACCAGACCCATCCTGTGCTTTCAACTCTTGGACTCTCGTGTGATTGTTGTTTGCTCTGAATAACTGTAAGCTGGTAGCTATGAAAATCGTGTTGATTTAGAAGAATTTTCTTTGTTTTTGTGGTAGGAAGTAAAGATAATGCTTTTTCAGATAGGGAGGAAGGTGCAACGTGAAAGGAATAGAAAGGGATATAGCAGAAGTCTGCTTAACAGGATTGGCAGAGCTTCATGGGAACAATGGAAGGAACAGTGTATTCACTTTTTTTATACTACATCTACTGGGATGTGCTGTAGAAAAGGTTGCATTAAGAATGGGCAAAAATCATGATGCTGAAGTGCAGTCAAGCTCTTCAAAACTTCAGAAGAACGTGAAACAACTTCCAAGGTGAGGAACGTAATAGAAGGCCTGGGAAGCTAGGGAATAGGAAGAAGGAAAAAAAGAATCAGTTGTCCAGCAGTTTATTTCTGTGTATTTGAGCATTTGGATTGAAGTGAAAAATGAGATCACGGACCAAACTTTATGGATTTGTGCAGAAGAGTAAGAAGGAAACAAAATATTAATGCAGTTGTAATAGCCATGTTGAAAAGATGAAACATTGATCATGAAAAATTTCACATCACCTGGTATTGACTGGTCAGTATAGTATCAGATGGAAATAATTGTTCCCAGGAAGGTTCAGTTTACAATAGCGGAAGTGATTGGAGGTTGCATTCACAAGGAGAAGTTGAAGAAGATAGGCTTATTCACAGGAACAAAAGAAAATTGAGATGACCTAATTCCAGCTTTTCTTGTGTTGGATAGACCAGTATCGATAGCAGGACAAATTGCTCTCAGTGTCAAATATGAAAGCAAGAATCACATGGTGTTGCTGTGCTGCACAACTCTTTTGCTTTCAAATACGTCTTAAATACCTAGGGATAGATGATGTATATGTCCAAGGAATGTTATGTCTTCATGTTTTCTGAGAAGCTGCAGTGACTCTCTTTGTGAATGTGTGCCGTGCCTTCTGCACTGGTGTGTGAAAAGACCATTCCTACAACATCCTCTTTTTCTTCACCATGTCATCCCATACAGGTCTGTAAAATTCCCTGCTGTGACTGGAACTTGTACCTCAGCTGATATACTCCTGCACTGAGCTCTGTTAGGCTTTTTGATTACTGACAGGGACTGAAGCTCACCAGTTTTCCGTATTTTTAAGAACATTCAAGTAATCTTCCTCAAACTTGCTTTGAAAGATAGAAACAATCTCAAAGTGCTCTGTGAATTTTAGTAGATGAAGAGCAGGATAATGAGAAGCAAGAGCTGCTACCAAACATAGAATTGTTGGGTGCAGGAGCTAACAGTTATTTGTGTGAACTTCTTAAACAAAGATAGATTTTTACATTTCTAATGTAATCCCATGTGGGACATGTAAAATATTAATCCTTCTGCAAGAGGTTTTCTCTTGAAGTCTGTTTATGTATAAAAGATGGAAATGAGCAGCACAGACCTCCCTCCCTGCTTCATTGATGTCTGAGGCCATATTTGCAGTAGAAATCCACCCCTGTTGCTGTAGCACAAATGAGTGCTTTCAGGTGTTGAACTACCTGCAACAAATGGCTTTTGCACATATGGATCAGGAGTTAACTTTGCCCCACATTTCTTTATGTGAATGGTGAGTGCGTTTTTACATGTTTTTTTACACACAGACATGGGCAGGCTGACTCCCTCCACCAAACCCTGCTGTAAAATTTCTCTTTTATCTTTATTCACAAACCCGTTGAGGATAAAGGCTTTTACATGCTTTCAGCTGCTTTTTAGTGATTGCTGATTTGCTAGCAATAGTTTGTGGTTTAGACAGAGAGGAATGCTGACCACTACTTTTTAGCTCGTGGTTTCATATACAGCTCCTCCATGTTGATTTTTCTCTCCCTACTATTGCCTGTTTTCTGAATAAAAGTAGGACATTTACCAAGGAATACAACAGTGTCACCAATAGTTTTGCCAAGGGTAAGTTGCATGTCCCACCTTTCTGTGAATGCTGTTAAGCTCTCACCATCTCAAGAAGCCATCATCCAACTGAGCCAGAGCAATCAGATGTAAAATGAAAGAAGTGCCTTGCTAACTGTATTTATCACACACTGACACCAGACTGTGCCCTCCAAAAGATTCTGCTGGAAAATCTCCCTTGCAAATAGAGCAAGAATTGTGCAGCATCAAAGGCACGTTTTGAAGCCTGTGATGGCTGCAAGATACTGAATCACCTGTGTGAGGCTGCTCTCGCTGCTAGTGCCTGACCTGGGCCAACATTTGAATGCAAAGCGGGGATTGTGTGTGGCATGAAAACCTGAAGCAACAGAGGAATAGGGCGAAAGGTGTGGAAGAAGGGGACTGTGCAGAGGAGAGAAACTCCAGGTAGAAAAAAGGAGAAATTCTGAGGAATTCATAGGTAGCCTAACTGTAGAATCTTGGGAGGTGTTAAGGATGTAGATGGATTATAGCTTATGTTCTTCTTATTTAATGTCTAAGAATTATTGTGTAGATTGCATTCAGGCCTTCTGATTACCCTTAATGAAACTTTAAGAAAAAGTGAAATATGAACTTGTTGGGCAGAGATGGAGAGTTTGAAGAAAAGCAGAAATGTTGTGTTATGAAGATGTTGTTGTCTCTCCTAGTCTTCTTAAGAAGATTGAGAGAGGAGAAAGGTGATCTGCTCCAGTGAGGAAAGGCAGAGTAGATGGTGGGCACCCCTTATGCCAAGGGCCCTGTATCATTTGCAGGCTCATACCACTGTAAAGCATGACTACATTTTAGGTATTAAAATGCTATCCTTTTATTTAGTATCCTCACTAGATATATCCTACCACAAATAAGGGAGTGGTCTAACTAGAAAGCCTGCATGATGCACCTTAATGTACTCAGGCATACGTGTAGAAAAGCAGCTTGTACTTACTCTTCTGTAGTACAAATTATACTGTTCCTTCTACAGTGCTGCGGTACTTTAGATAGTCATAGAATCATTTGAGTTGGGAAGGACCTTTAAAAGTCATCCGGTCTCACACCCCTGCAATAAACAGGGGCATCTACAGCTTGTTCAGGTGCTCAGAGACCAGTCCAGCCTGGCCTTGGTTGTCTCAGGGATGGGCAACCTGTGCCAGTGTTTACAGTCAGCAGAAAAATGCTGAATTCTTCTGTCAGTCACTGTCTCTGTAGTCTTCTGTTCTTCATTTTTCCTCAATAAGTCTTTATTTTCTGTAAATGCTACTTATTGCGTACTGTGATCATCATTCTGCTCGATCCATCTCATGGCATTTAATTATGCGGTGTTGTAGAATAGCAGAGCAGTTAGCACAAGTTGCATGCTATTTTCTTCTTTTTCTTCCAGAATTAATGTTGAATCATTGAATATCAGCTGAGTTTGAAGTTTACCTGAATATGTTTTACTTTTCTAAAGAGATTACACAATGGCTCTGATTAGCAGCAGCATTTTGTAATACCACTTAAGGCTTTATCACAGTGGAGTACTGCCAGTAATAGTCTTTAATTCACTTATATGTACCAATTCATCTCTGTCAGGTTTCTATTAATTTCTTTGCTGTTTTACTTTTTGCCTATCCCCCATATAATGAGGCATGATTTCCCCATCTATGTATCCAAAATAAAATTAAAAAATTAAATCTTCAGCAAATTAACTGTGGCCCTTTGATTTGAGGCAGCTGTGCCATCTTGCATGCTTACATTTAATTCACTTCCCACAGGTTAGTTTATTTTTAAGAATGTGGTGAGTCAACTGGCCAAGGGGGAACAATAATTGTATCGGCTACTTTAGATTAAAATTATTGGGATTGGGTTAGGTATATTAATTGCAGAAGTGGAGAGCAGGTGTAGAATTAAAACTGTACACGTGCGTGCATGTACTCATAGAGCTATGAAGAGCCACCATGTTAGCGTTATTTTTTTCATCAGAATGATGACCACCTTGATTACAAAGGTGATTATGAGAGGTAAATTTCCATGTGAACAATTCTGTTTCATTTGGCACCAGTTTCACAGTGTACGGAAAGATCTAAGCAGTTGGGTTTGGAGTTGGTGCTCCATATTTACGTGATGAATCAGTGTCTGTGGTTGAAAGCAGACCCAGTTGCATATTTGTTTTTTGTTTTTCATTATTAGGATTGGAGCAAAGCATCAGGAGTTACGTCAAAAGCAACTGAGGGGCCTGCTTGATTATTCTACTGGTCCTGGAGGACCCGACATAGATGATGATGAGGTAGATCCAAATTATGCCAGAGTGAACCACTTCCGAGAGGCTTATCCAGCAGCAAGCATTTACAGACCATCATCTCCAGCAGTCGCAGAAACCTTCGTCTATCCGCGTGATTCTTCTTCAACACCAGTGGAGAGGGAACACTTGGAAGGATTGTATGCAAAAATAAACAAGCAGCACTACCCGCAGGTTCCTGGTGACAGGTAATATTGCCACCTGGCATTAGAAACAATGATAGCTTGGGAGTGGGCTGGACAGGGAGGCTCTAAACGTCTGTATTTACTGACTAGAAAGACATGAATTTCCTCTTAACCAAAACTGTGATTTGCTCCAGCAGCGCCCCCAAAGCATCTGAGCTAGTCAGCAGTCAAACAAAAATCATTTTAAAAAGTCCATATTTTACAAACAATGAATGAACAGACTCCAGTCCAATTCCTTCCCTGCTGAGAGTGTGTTTTTTCCCTTTTTCGCTCGGGAAAAGTTCTTACACTGCAGCAAAAATAATCTCTGGTTTCAGATCCCTTTCAATCTGCTGATCATCAAATGCCTATTAGTAACAGGTTTTGTATGATAACATGATATATTGCATATGTTTACAGTTCAGTTTCCCCCAGCTGTTTGATATTATGCACTTTCAATTAGACTGGGGAGAGGACTGGGAATCGTGGCATTTTTATGCAGACTGTGAAGTGTGGCTTCACAAGACTGATTGCCTTTCACAGCCTTTCCAATAACCAAGTGGGAAGGAAAGAGCAATTTTTAATCCTTACTGTCAAGCTTCCAGGTTGATAGCATTAAAGAAAGATGGTCAAGTTTTTCCTTGGATTAAAAAGAGAACAGCATTCCCTTTGAGCTGATGATTACCTACCATTATGGTAGTTTTAAAACTAGGTGTTTCTGGAATTTGGGACTGAAAGAATGTAAGATTGCATTAGCAGTATCGTGGTGTCAATGAATTGGATTTTTCAAACCAACATCTGAGTATGTAGGCAAGATATAAAAGTATGTGAAAAGAAGAGCTGACAGAGAAAGACATGGGGGACTTAAGGAATTGTTTATGCTTTGAGTTCATATTACAATCTGTAGTGTCTCACCATAGCCTCAGTCTGTGCTGTGTGATACAACACTTGTTAATTTTGGAGAGCACAGATACAGGAGTGTTTTCAGTTTGTGGCATTATAGTACTTTAAAAATGTCTACTGAGTCATTGTTATAAATAGTAATAAAACACTTTTGACATAAATCTAAGTGCGTAGCAGGGATTGGGCCAAGTATTTCTCTTTCTTTTCACCTAAATACAGTATGAGAGAGATCTTTCCAAACATAATGACACTGCTGATTCTCTTCTTTCGTATTAACTCTTCTGCTGCTGCATGAGAGCAAAGAGGGTGAAGTTAGAGGCATGGATCACAGATTTTTGCCATCAAAAGGGTTTTGCTTTCCTAGAAAGTGCTTGGGGTGATTGTCAGTGGAGTTGTATGAGCATCTGTGTATCACAAAGAGATCAGAAACTTGGTTCGCACTAACTCAGGAAACCCAAGGAAATTCCAGCAGGAGGGAGCCCAAATTCAGACTCATACACTTCTCAAGAACAAATATGTAGAGATGTAACTCAGCATGAAAGCAAAACGTTGTCATAAAGGTTGCTTCATAGTATCAGTTTTAACAGGGACTTTATAGCTTAACATTTTAAACGTGTCATCAGTTTGGAAGTATGGTTTATGCTTTGTTTTTACACGCAGTATAAAGAAGTGCCCAACTCTCTCCCTCTGGCCTCTTTTGTTTGATTGCTTGTATCGTGGCTGTAACTGCACTGAATGAGCTCTTGTCTTGTTGTGTGGACATGATTGAAATGCCAACCAAGTCTGGATTCAGTGTCAGGATCCTGGATCTTAGTGTGGCTTTAGCTGTAATTGCACCCTCAAATACGACAATTCAGTGAAAAACAAAAACCAAAACTTCTAACAAGCAAAGAGAAAGTTACCTCATATCTGACCTATGGTCAGAAGTCGTGCTGGGAAGGCTGTGCCATCTGTGTTGATTCTGTACTGAAAGACAAACAGTCCACAACAACTTAGCTTTGTTGAATTTCTCAGGCTTGTAGAGACTTTAACCAGATTAGGAGAAAGTAGGAAATGTGGGATTCTTATTAGGCTGCCTTTGTTCTTTCTTTAAATCTTTGTTTCCTTTGTCTCAGAAACAAAAAGGTTGTTGTTACTCACCAGCAGAAATGTGCCAAACCTGAATAATTTGAAGTGAATTTATGCAGTGTGTTGTGAGGTCTCAGCCAGCAGTTGTTGAATGTGGCAGCAACTGCAGGCAAGGAAATCTTTTCTGTGCTGGAGGGAGAGTACTGAAAGGAGAAGAGAGATGTGGAAAGAAAAATCCCTGGATAACATGTTAATTACAAAACCAAATCTGCTTTCAAGGGTCAAGTATGAAAACTGCCTTGTCTGCCTCAGAATAATGGGAAATAGTTATAATGGATGCTTATTAACCAAACCAAAGTTATTTTGCATTTGCAGGGTTGAACATTTATCAATGCATTTGTCATGTAATAGCTCATGTTTTGGTCCTGCTAACGCATGCATGCTCTCTCCAAGTTTTGCTATTAATTTTACTTTAGATGGATGGCTTTTTTTCCTACCTCTGACTCTCGACTTTATAATACTGTGTGTGCAGACTTGATCAGTGCTTAGAGTAGATGAGGTTTAGGATGGAAGGAGGTTTGAACACAAAGAGAATAGATGACTTCATTTTGGTCTCGGAATTCTAGTTATGTGTCACTATGATAGAGAATTAAAACTCATCATTTCAAAGAAGTTCATTTTTATTTCATTTTATTTTTGCAGAAAAATGTATTAACGTAACAAATGGCTTTTAAAATGTGGAGGCCATTTGTGAAAAAAAAAAAAAGGAAGCTCAGTGGTCAGATATGCACCGTTTACAATTCACATACTTACCCACCTCTCCATTTCTCATCACCAGACTCCATCCAGTCTCCCCTATTCATTCTTCTCAGCAGATGCCCAGTTTAAACGGAGAGTCTCCCACAGAGATCCCACTGTTGCAGAAGCAGTAGGCTGCACATGTATGAAGAATATTCCTTTAATCATTCTGAAGTATGTCTGCTGCCTCCAAGCACCACTGCCTAGGGCACCGCAGGCCCGGTTCACAATGCTGTTTGCATAATAACGTCCTCTTTACCTACAATTGTATCTGGCGTCTCAGGGATTCTTTTGCCTTGAGTTCTTGGGGATTTTGCTTTGTCTTGTTTTCATCTGTTGTGTAATGTTCTTCTGCGGTGTTCCAAAATTGCTGATTTTCATTCCAACGATGACTGTATTCAGTGAAATGGATTTAATTTTTTGTGTATATTTTGCTGAAAACTTTGAGATTTTTAACTAAGAGAGATGCTACATAGACGTAAATTGTCCTTATTAATGAATATATTGAAAGCATTAGCATGATCAGTCTTTTCTGTGAATGTTAAGATGGTAAAAAAAAATTAGCTAGCAGAATCACACATTCCTTTGTAAATCAAGCATTTTTCTGTTTATTTCTAATTAGCCACAGTTTTCAGAAATGCAAATGCCACCCTGGAGGATGGTGCAGCCTGCAAAGGCACCTCGTGCAGCTGAAGAGCTTGCAGGGGCTACGCTGTGGCCTCTGTACGCTCCCTCAGCTCATGCTGAGGCTGGGTGATCTGCAGCCCATATGTTCCCAAAAGGAGTGGGAAGTCACATCTCTGAGTTGAGTTATCAAGGCTGCACCGTGACAGTGCTAAGTTGCACCGTGGCAGAGTCTAGGTGTCAGACCAAAGCCAAAAGAGCATATGTAAAACACTTCTATCACTTAAATGTCAGGCATGTCGCGTGTTGTAACCCTTTCTCACGTTTTGAATAAGCAACTTCCTCTTTCTTTCCTCCCCTGAACGTGGTGCTGCCAAGTATATCCAAACACTCCGAGCACATCTCCGGAAAGGTTCTAAAGACATGCTCAACTTATTTGCTCAGCTCAGAACTATGAAACATTTAAAGTCTGATGCCAAATTCATTGCCAAGTATAATTCTTCATTTATTTATGTGTCTTATCTTGGGGAATTTCAAAGTGCTGTTCTGACAAAAATGAATACAGCTTTCTTCTGTTTAGCAAGAATACATTTCAGAACTGTATCTTGTTGCAGATCAAAAAACAAAAGGAAAGAAAGAAAGAAAGAACTGTTTTATTGCATAGGAGTAGAGCCCAAAGCCCCAGTCTGCTCCACTTTTCCGTTTTTGGAGATGCTATGTCAGGTCCCACTGTGGAAGGAAGATCTTATGTGGAAGATCTTATCCCACCGTGTAAGACTCAACAATGTTAATTAATCAAAAAATGGATCTTCCTCATTTCAGAGTAAAAGTTTCCTCATGGAAAAATTGCTCTCTCCCAGAAAGTACAGTCTAGCAAAATACAGAGTTGATAATGAGGAAAATGATCCCAAAGTGTGCTTCCCACAGCTCACCCTTAGGTGCCCCCATCAGAGGGGCAAGGCGCACTGAGTGATCTGCCGTGCCCGGGAAGGACACAGACACATACTGCTGTGTGTATGCTGAGAGCTAAAGGCTATGTGTAAGCTGGGAGTCAGCCTGAGGGAGAGTAAAAAGGGTCAAGAAATTTGAAATTTAACAAACAGTATTTTTTTTTCTGGAAGGCCAAGCTAAATACTTGTATAGGTAGTTCCTGTCCTGTTGAAAGCAAGGCTTTCAGAATCCAGAACTGCACAGACAAGGCTTTGTTGAGAAGGACAAGTTAGGGTTGTCCAGGTGTGTCTTGGCCCTATACTTCTAGTAAGCCAGATGCTGGAGTTAAATTTTTCTCAGTGCAGTGTACCATGGGCATTGCTCACGATCCATCTCCAGCACCTTCTATCACTGAATAGGAAACAGCAACCTGTTGCTATAGGAGTGGATGGTCTTCTGCTCAGGAATGGCTACTCTTTAAGGTGGAAACTCTGAAGGCAAGGTAGAAATGAGGCTCTGTAATCTCTAAGTATCCTTTGCTGTTCTTGTGTTATAGCAAAAAAACCCCAATGTTTAGCAGTTTACTCTTTTCTGACTGGTATATTTCTGACAACTGTTAAATTCAAAGCTGCATTGGCAGGTACATCAGAGGTTTAGAGGTTTCTGTGTGCTCAGCAGAGCAATCCTGCTCATGGAAGCAG